GACCAGGTGGCCATGCCCTATCAGTGGGAGTACCCATATTTGCTGAGCATTGTGCCCTCTATCTTGGGTCTCCTCTCCTTCCCCCGCAACAACATTAGCTACCTGGTGCTCTCCATGATCAGCATGGGGCTCTTTTCCATCGCTCCCCTCATTTATGGCAGCATGGAGATGTTTCCTGCTGCACAGCAGCTCTATCGCCATGGCAAGGCCTACCGCTTCCTCTTTGGTTTTTCTGCCGTCTCCGTGATGTACCTGGTGTTGGTGCTGGCAGTTCAAGTGCATGCCTGGCAGTTACACTACAGCAAGAAGCTCCTAGACTCTTGGTTCACCAGCACACAGGAGAAGAAGCGTAAATGAAGCCTGCCGGATGGACTGGTCTCTGGGGTGAAGCCTAGCCCCCCGCCTCCCATTGAGAAGAGTGAGAGGGTAGAGGAGCTGTTGTGAAATCTCTGTAGGTGGGTAATTTTGGCAGCTGTGATGTTGGCAACTGGTGCAAACTAGGCCCACATTCTGGAAAGCTGCTACTATTGTCATTAGCTCAGGTGGCAAAATGATATTTAACTTATTCCTGGTTGGCTGGAACTGAGCGAAGAACAGCTGTAAAACGAACTTCAGCTAGTTGAAGTTGAAGCCCTTCAGGATTTTTCTGTTTTAAGATTGAGCCTCATCCTTGCCTCTTAGTCATTCTCTCCATTTCCATCCATTACCCCTTAGCCACTGAAACTGGAGATGAGGATCAGCCAAATTCTACTTCCATTGATGGGTGGTTGGGAAGAAACATTAGGAGGCTGCTTTCCCGCAGGCTGTGGTCTCCACTCTGAAGCATTTTCATTACAAAGAACCTCAATAAAGTTATAACTGCCCCGTCTACCCTGTGCCTTGTGCTTGGGATTTAACTGAATGGTGCACGGCTTGAGTGGCGTTAGACTCTGGGAAATAGATGGAAACCCCCTGAGAAACCTGGCAGTGGCCATAGAGAAGGAAAAAGTTGCCACCCTGTAGCTGAACAGCAGGAACTATCATGGGCCATACATTTAATCTCTCCACCTATCAGATGGTTCATTCTCACTTATCCAGCTTGGGTTATGCAAGTCTTCTTTTGGTTGTATATTCATGTTTATTTTTCAGTGTTAGAGTGTTAGTTACGTGTCTGATACAGTAGTCCCCCTTATCTGTGGGGGATACGTTCCAGATCCCCAGTGGATGCCTGAAGCCTTAGTGCCAAACCCTATATATACTGTGTTTTGCCTCTACATACATATCTGTGGTAAAGTTTAATTTGTAAATTAGGAACAGTAGGATATTAGCAACAGTAATAAACTAGAATAATTATATCAATGTACTGTAATAAAAGTTATGTGAATATGGTCTCAGGGCGAGATTTCATCATGCTAGTCAGAACACTGTTTCAACTTCTGAATTAACGCATTTTCTGGAATTTCCCATTTAATATTTTTGGACTGTGGTTAACTGTAGGTAACTGAAACCACAGTGAAACGTAAGTAAAGGGGGACTACTGTACTATATTATGGTATCCACAATAATTTAAAAGTGTCTCTACATACAGGGAATATGCAACCTAAGTGAAATATAATACAAATGTGAAACAACGAGTGAACGATATTTAATGGTATGGAGCAGATAAGTTAAAAATAGAAGTGAAAAAGAGATATGTAGCTCTAGCTGGTTTGGCTCAGCAGATAGAGTATCGGACTATGGACTGAAGGGTCCCAGGTTCAATTCTGGTCAAGGGAACATGCCTGGGTTGCAGGCTCAATCCCCTGCAGGGAGCAGCCGGTCAGTGTTTCTCATTATTGATGTTTCTGTCTCCCTCTCCCTTCCTCTCTGAAATCAATAAAAAAATATTTAAAAAAACAACAACAACCAAGATATGTGAACTAAAGGCTCTTTCATGTTTAAAAGTGACACAGTAAATACTACATGGAAGATGTGTGTCTCTTTAAATAGATTAGATATATAGTTTTGTTTTTTTTTAATCTTCATCCAAGGATATATTTATTGATTTTTAAAGAAAAAGAGAAACATCAATTGGTTATCTCTCTTATGCCTCCCATCCTGGAACTGAACCCATAACTTAGGTATGAGCCCTGACTGGGAATTGAATCCATAACTTTTTGAAGTACAGTCCAATCAACTGAGCCACACTGGCTAGGGTCCCTTTACTCTTATCCATTTGATTTTATGTCTCTGGATGGATGATGCTCAGATTCTAACTGCATATCTCTTTTCTCTCCTCTACAGTCATTCTTTTCTATAAACATTAGGAATGTACTCAGCCACTATTAGATACTGGGAGTACTTTCTGTTACAACATCTCTTCCTCTAGATGTCCTCATTATCATATCAAATTTAGTTCTTTGCCTTCTACCTCATATTCATTCCTCTTCCTGCATCCCTATATGCAAGAGAATATACCAGGAGCACAGCTCTAGGTCATCATCATAAGTACCTACTATGTGCTATTCATTTTTGAACAACCAAAATTCTTAATCTCAAAAATTTTACAAACTGTGGTCTCAATGCAGCAGTCCTGTATTATCTCCTAATACTCTCACTACACATCTTAATCAGCAGAACCTATTGAATCCCTATATTGGTTTCACGTTTTTCAGTTTTCTTAAGTTTTCCCAAATGGCCCTTGGCAGAAAAAAGTTCCCCACCCCTGAAAGGGGTCAAGAAAAGAGAAATATAGCCTATAGCCCTAGCTCGCTTGGCCCAGTGGTTAGAGCATAGGCCTGTGGACTGAAGGCTCTCAGATTCGATTCTGGTCAAGGGCATGTGCCTGGGTTGCTGGCTCAATTCCCAGTAGGGGATGTGCAAGAGGCAGCCAATCAATGATTCTCTGTCATCATCATTTCTCTCTTTCCCTTCCTCTCTAAAATCAATAAAAATATATTTTTTTTTTAAAAAAAAGAGAAGTACTAGTATTAAAGAACAGAGCCAAGTTTCTCATTTCATGTACTCAGCATTGAAAGATGCATGATGGCTGCCGGAAGTGGCAGATGGAGGCCAGTGGACCCCAGGACTGAAGGATGAGGTGACCGTGGGCTCCTCCGCTGCCACCAGGGACCCCAGTTTGGGACGCCGACGTGATGAGGCATGTGATCACTTACAGCTTGTTGCCTTTCAAATAGTGTGCCTTCCCGCACTGCCTCAGCAAGGGCATCCCCAGCGTGCCGTGCAGCAAGCATTCAGAAATCCATCCTTGGTGACATATGGCCATTTGTAGCGTTTTATCTTGCCCACACATGGGGGACCCAGGAGTTTGAGAAGTCCAAGAAGAAGAATCGAGCTGCCTATGAAAATGACAAGTGAGCAACTCCCCTGGAGGATGGTTCCCTGCCTCTGAAAGACCCTTCACTGGGGAGGAGTCTACATTGTATAGTGTCTTGAAGACTCAATAAACTTTCTGTGGGCTGCAGCGTTCTGATTTTGCATTTTGGGGAGCAGCGTCCTTGGTGTAACTTGCTAATATTCAAGTTAATGAACTCCCTTCCCCAGATGCGCTCTGAACAGTTTTGGCTTGTCTGGGAATTTGGTGAAGGAGTGGGACTCACCCCTTGTTCTACAGTATACTCTACAAGAAAGCAGCTGCAGCTACTCTTGCAAGCTGGCCATGGGTGGCATGGACTGTGTAGAGTGTATGTTCCTGTCCCTCTGCTCTCATACTAAAAGTAATAAAATCTATAGTGTAAAACATTTTTTAAAAAATTTTAATTCATACTCTATGTAGCTCTGAACCACTGTGAGTTAGATAACAATTTAGGCAGAAGACTCCCTAACTAATCCTTAGAATGGCCAGACCACCCTTTTCTCCCTTTACGTCTCACTCATTTGTCTGCAGTGATGGGCTCCAAGGTCAAAAGACAGAACAGTGTCAGGCCCTTCGGGGCTCCCAGAAGCAGGGGGAGATGAGGCAGTGGAGGAGGACCGGAAGGGAATTGACCTGAGAGAGGCTGGCAGAAGTGGAGCTCCCTATGCTAGAGACCTGGACTTTGACCAAATAACATTCCTTTCAGCTTATTTATCTTTTTGAAATGAAAACAATTCCCGCCTGACTTACAATGTAGTTTCGAAGATCAAACATGAAAGTACTTTGTGAAATGTGAAATGGATAAACTGCTTTCATAATTTACATTTATTCAATGGAAGAGCACCTATTTCATGGTATCCACCGTAGGCACTGGAGAAGCATGAAGAATAAGAAAGGGATCTTGATCTTATAAGGAACTCAAAAGCTAGAGGGTATTTTTAGGATAATGGGTAGGGTGGGATCTTCAGACAGTGGACCTGAGGACTCAGAAACTAGAATTGGCCTAAAGAAAGCTATGGTCAGTCTACTGAGAGGTGCAGAGAGACAGTAACAATTTCGAGATGCCTTAACCCAGTAGGTGTGCCCCAAACTTTCCACTGCATGTGTCGTCACCAAGGTGAGGGCTGAAGCAGCTCAAATGCTCCATGAGCGGGAGGAAGCTGTGGGATGATGGGGAGGGTCCCAACAAAGACTGGAGCCTCGTCAGCAGCATCAGAAACCACAAGAAACCAGGTCAGTGTGTGGGGCCCGCTCCCCTCGCTCCAGGGCTCTGCTGTGAGCTCTGTGGCTTCCTGAGCAGCCTGTACTGAAGAGTGGATCCTTGAAGCCAAAGGCCCCTTCGGCATGGAGCCCTCCGTCCAGAAAAGTGGCACTGACTAGAGAAATCTGAGCTGTAGTCCTGAGAGTCGGCCAGGTGGGGAACAGGCTGCCTATGGGGTCCTGTGAGGCTTGTTTGCAGCTTTTAGTGCTTTCTTGTGATTCTGCCCAACTCCAATGGTGTGCCAGTCACCTCTCTCTCTGGCATCCAGTGCAGAGCAGTGTTCAATAGCTCTGTTAATTCTCTAAGGGAGGGGATGAAGCAAATGTCTAGAGGAGACAAAAGTAAACAGCTAGTTAACGGGCGTGTAGGATCTAGAGGGTGTTGCAGAGTAGGAGGGGTTAAAACATGGGTGCAGCCGTCCATTTCCCTCACCCTGTGCTGGCCTCTTTCCTGCTGTATCCTTGCCAGAGCAGGAGAAATGCCCTCCAGTTGGAGACAGCAGGGTGTTCTGGGGGGCAAACATCCCTCAGTCCCTCTGCTTGGAGGAGAAGGAATGTGGCCTGGCCTGCTCGTTAGGATCTAGGGAGGAGCTTTGGGGCTGGGCGGGGCAAGGGCAGGCTGAGACGAGGGTTCCTACTGGCATTGTGCACCCTGTTGCTGTACTGCAAAGTCCTGCTGCCCACCTTTAGGCCGTGCAGCCATGTTCTGGGTGCCCTGACCCAACGGAAGTCCATGGGGCACCCCAGACTGGCAGCCCTGCCCCTGCCTCTCCACCTGCTGCTCATTGGCGTCTCTGCCTCCCCTGGGATTGGCTGCCCCTGTCTGCCCCACTGGACTACCTGCTGTCTGCTGGTCTCCCACATGGTAAGGTGCCATTACCGGGCGGGGATTCCTGCCTGGCACAGGCTGGAAAAGCTCTCCACCCTCCTGTCTGTCCTTTTCTACCTCCCCAAGTCCATGTGCTCTGGCGGCAACCTCAGTGTGCCCTCTGCACAATCCCAAAGGGGTAGGAAGGTCTCAGTGGCCTGAGGGTTTGGGGAGGATGGAGCTGGGAAGAAAAAAAAACCACAGGGATGGGCTGTTAGCTTCTGGGCCTCAGAATTTGGGGCAAAGACCCCAAGAAGAGTGCTCCTTATGAGAATCCCTCCTAATTATACTTCTCTCTTTTTTCTTCTCTTCCCCCCCACCCCCCATCCTCATTCTTACTGGGCCCTGTGCCTTCAGGATGACAGTTTCACTGGTAAGTCCTTATTCCCTGCCCTGCTCCTCTTACCCATCCCATCCCCAATTGATTTTTAGAGAGAGAGGAAGGGAGGGGAGAGACAGAGACATCTATTTAGAGAGACACATGGATTGATTGCCTCCTGCAGGTGCTCTGACCAGGGCTGGGGATTGAACTTGCAACCCAAGTATGTATCCTTGACTAGGAATTGAACCTGAGACCCTTTGGTGCATAGGCCAACACTCTATCTACTGAGCAACACCAACCAGGGTCCCCACACCCCTTTTGTTCCAGATCCCCAGTGAGGCTTGCATTCTATATACTTTTTGGTTCACAGCCTGGGAAGTAGCATAGTAGCAAGGAAAGAGCATAGGGTTTAGAATCAGGACAGTCTAGGTTTGCATTATCATTCTGCTACATACTCCATGTGTGGCTGCAGTCAGTACTCCGACCCTCAGTTTCTGCGGGGTCTATCAGAACAGTCGAAATGATTGTACAATAAAGACTGTTGCCCCTGAGCTGTGGGGAGGATTAAATGAGAAACCTGCAAATCTCCAGGCACACCCACCCCTTAACTGTCAGTAATAAGATGACGTTCATATTTTCTCACACATTATCTTACTTGATCTTGATAACAGCCTCCTTTATGAGTGGTAAAGTCGAGGCTTAGAGGGGTCCATATTTGCCCAAAGTCTCAGAGCCAGGATGTAAGTGGCAAAGCTTAGCCTCAAGTCCTTCTTGTCTGAGGCAGGAGAGATGTCCTTGGACCCTACCACTTGATTTTTTTTTCACCTTTTGCAGAAAGATCTGCCCATATTTCTTGCCATACCCTGCCACTTTCCTGGGGTGCTTGGCGCTGGTACTGCCCCTGCTGTCTGTGCCTGCGCCTGGTGTCAGCTCCTTCAGGTATGAGAAATAACCCTTGGGTCATTCTCAATGAAGATGTGAACTGGGGGCATTTGAGGGTCGGGGAGGCTGAGGCAGGTGGAACAGGTGATATTAGTGAATTCATTTGTATCATTTTGGGATGTGTCTCTTTTCAGCTGGTACCAATTGTTGGAATTAAAATGTCAGTTCTAGAAATTTACTATTAATATCTTCTATTTGTAAAGTAACTTTTTAACTCTGTATTTTTATGTCTAGCTCAGTGCCTGATATATTCTAAATGCCCATACTCTGCATAAGAATGGGCAGTTTGTAATTTTTCACTGTTATAAATAATACTACCATGAACATCTTTTTAAAAAATATTTTTTATTGATTTCAGAGAGTAAGGGAGAGGGAGAGAGGGAGGGAGAGAGAGATATGAGAGAGAGAGAGAGAGGGAGAGAGAGAGAGAGAGAGAGAGAGAGAGAGAGAGAGAGAGAGAGAGAGAGAGAGAGAGAGAGGGAAACATCAATGATGAGAGAGTATCATTGATTGGCTGTCTCCTGCACACTCCATACTGGGAATTGAGCCTGCAACCCAGGCATGTGCCCTGACCAGGAATCAAACCTCCTGGTTCATAGGTCAAATGCTCAACCGCTGAGCCACTCCAGACTGGCTACAATGAACATCTTAAGATGTTCTTTTTTTCTCTACTTAAGAAATTAGTCATTTAAAATTTTTTATTTACTGATTTTAGGAAGAGAGGAACGGAGAGAGAGAGAATGAAAGAATAAGAGAGAAAAAGAGAGAAACATTGATTTGTGTTCTACTTATTTATGTATTCGTTGGTTGCTTCTTGTATGTGTCTTAACCGGAGACCAAACCTGCAACCTTAGTGTATTGGCACAATGCTCTAACCAACTGAGCTTCCTGACCAGGTGAAGAAATTAATCCATTTTTTTATTGTAACATAACTTTCGGGACTAAAGAGGCTTGATGTCATTACCCTCCCTGATCCAAAATGACTTACTCGCTAACACGGGGCCATCATCTCCAGATAGGGAAGGGGCAGTAAAGGGCCAGATGTTAAATGTGCCCTTTCCTGTGCAGGCCTTTCACGGAGCTGGTTCTGCCACCTGGTGCAGAAATCCAAAAAGTCTTACCTGTTCCAGTTCTGTAGGAGACACAAGATGCCAGCATCTGCTCAGGTACTCCCCTGCCAGTTCCAGCCCTGCCCTGTGCCCCTTTCCTTTCTGGCCTCTCATTTTGTGAGAGATGGAAAGTAGGAGGATGAAGTAGACTATCCTCCCATTACACAGCCAGGGAAACTGAGGCTTAAGTGTTGAGCAGCTTACCTGTAGTACCCCAGGTTCCAGAGGGAAAAGTAGAAGCCAGAGATCCTGATTCCCGCCTTACGGCCCACCCTGCTCTCTGCCTACAGAGGAAGCTGCTGCATCGCTGTTGCCTGCCTGAGAAGGACCATCACATCTCCGTCCCCTCCCCAGACATCTCCCAAAACAGGCTGCGCTTCAAAAGGACCCAGCCTTCCCATCCAGAGGCAGTGGAAGGTCTCCCGAGACAGGACTCACAGAGGCATAAAGGTAGACGTGGGGTGTGACTGGAGATAGGCATAGCCAAGTAGTGGTGCCTTCGCTAAAGCCAAGAGACAAGGCCACCAAGTTCCGCTTCTCCGCAGGGCCCGAGTTCTCCTTTGACTTGCTGCCTGAGGCACGGGCTATTCGCGTGAGCATTCCCTCAGGCCCCGAGGTCAGCGTGCGTCTTTGTCACCAGTGGGCACTGGAGTGCGAAGAGCTGAGCAGCCCCTTTGATGTCCAGGTATGGAGTGTCATTTTCCTGTAAAAAGCAAGATCACACAGTGCTAGAGCAGAAAACAGCCTACCCACTGTCCATACAGGGAGCCCGAGGTCCAGGGAGGGTTGGAAATTCTCCCAAACCCACAAGTCCGAAGTGCCTAGCATTAAGGTTTCTTTGGACTGGACAGGAAATGCAGGCGGCCTTGTCACATGGGAGGAGAGGAAGGGAAAGGGCATGCAGAGACCTGGCGCAACTGTGAACGACTAGCAGAAAAATGAATACGGTATTTACCCCCACGATCGGAGCCTCAGTGAGATTCAGATTATATCCAGAAACCACTTCAGTTCCTTCAAGCAGTTGTTTTCCCCGAGAAAATAATAAAGCGGTCACATCTGTCCTGGTTCCCTTCCATTTCCCTCCCTTTGTGGCCTTCCTCAGAAAATGAGATGACCCTCATTTTCCCAGCCCAGATCTTGACACACCACCTCAACCCCCAGTTGTCACTGACGCCCTTGTGTACAGTTGGCACCATTTGCAGGGACTGATGCTGCACCACGGAGGCCCTCAGCCCTCCTTAGTTATAAAGTGGTGATGACACCTCCCAAGATCACTGCAGAGCTAGCATTTCCTCGAATTATTGCTTTAGCACCTCGCACCCTACATGGCATCCAGCGGGGCTCATTAAATGTATGTTCCCTTTCCCTGTCTCCTCCCTCCCCGATTCCATATACAGGGTGGCACAAAGGTAGGTTTACAGTAGTGAATATGTGAAATGCAGACTTTATTCTTGTATTATTATTTATTAATTATTATATTACTAGAGGCCTGTTGCACAAAGTGTTTCATGCAATAGACCTTCCTTCCCCTGGCTATCGTACCAGCTTTCCTCTGGCACCTGGGACCCAGGCCTTCCCTCTGGCGAGGCCTTCAGTCTTTGCTCCAGGTGGAGCACTGCTCCCTCTGCCCCCTGCCCTCCACCCCTGGCCCTCCCCCTCATAGCAGGTGTCCCGCTCCACCTGCTGCCCGAGGCCTGAGTGGCTGGGGGTGGGGCCACAGCCATATTTGTTGGGTTAATTTGTGTGATTGGCTGGTGGGTATAGCAAAGTGACAGTCAATTTGCATGTTTTTCTTTTATTAGTGTAGATTTCCCATACAAATATCTGTAAACTTACTTTTACCCCACCCTGTATTGAGACACCTAGAGAAAACGGTCAGAGTACAGGACAGAGACCCCTTGGGAGGAAATTTGTCGATGAAAAAAATTAAGTTTCACATAAGAAAAAATAAGGTCCCAGCTTTTTCCTACCCTCGGCCAGGGTGCCTGTACTCTTTCTCAGGCATCTTTCTCTCTTTTTACGTCAACAGAAAACCGTGTCTAGAGGCCACACTGTAGACCTGCCTTATGAATTCCTTCTGCCCTGTCTGTGCATAGAGGTGAGTAAAGAAAAAGGTGGGGGTTGTCCATGGCCCCACTCCTAGTTCCCCAGAAAGTGCAGTTGGTCAAACATATCTCTAGTAAATCGGGTTTTAAAAAGGACTGTGTGTTAACGAGATGCACAGGAAGACAGGTGTCAGCCTGACCGTGAGCCACACACTGGATCAGAGATGGAAGTGTCCTGCTGAACATGAGATTCTTGGGAGTGATTCCAACCTCAGCTCCACCCAAACCCAGCTTTTCTTGGTCCAGACCTGGATGCAGCCCACTGAGGCGGAATAGGTAGCTCCCTTCACGGTGTGTGCTGATCAGTCACGGTGGGGGCATGTGGCCATTGCAAGGTTCCATATGGCCTCAGAAGTCTTGTCCCCAACCCTCCCCCCCTCATGGCAGTCCTCCTCTCCATAGTTCTAAAGTGCTTAACATTAAAACATCTTTGGATTAGACAGACAAGGCAGGGGCCTTGTCATCCAGGAGGAAACGAAAGGGAGGCTGCAGGCAGAGACTTGGAGCACTGAGCATCCGCCAGGGTGGACAGCCATTGGGAGTTTGGGCAACCCAGACGGAGACCCATACAGGGCACTAGGCACCTTGGGAACTACCGAGAGTAGAGGAGTAGACAGATGTGAACATCACAATCTGCCTCTTTCTGGGGATAGGTTCTCTCCATGGGCAAGAGGACTCAGCCCCTCCTTAGCTGATCTCACTCCCATACTCTGGAGTTCCTCCCCCAGTGTCAGGCACCACTTACCCTTGCCTACACCCTGCATCTTCCCCCTCCTCAATGCCCTGCCAGCTCAGGCAGCTTGCAGTAAGGCAAGAGCAAGGGCAAGCCAGAATGAGTCTCAGGTCTGACCATCTCTTCTTGTCCCCCTAGGCATCCTACCTGCAAGAGGATACAGTGAGGCGCAAAAAATGTCCCTTCCAGAGCTGGCCGGAAGCTTGTGAGTGCTACTCATATGCATTCTTGTGCATGCACAGCCTCTCTCTATCTCTCTTTCATGCATACACGCACACACTCCCCAACTGTGTTGGATGAAGCCTCTAGGAGTCATGGGCATTTTCCCTGGAGTCAGTGGGGGAAAAGGGTACTGTATCTACTGCTCAGCCGGCCAATGAATCAGAGTGTAGTAGGCTCTGTGGGAGGTTGTACCAGGCACACAGGAGTTGGACCAAAAGAGCTGGGCTCACTCACATCCCAGCTCTGCCACTTATTCTTCTCTGAGACTCAGTTTCCTCATCTGTAAAATAATTATATTGGCCCTGTCTTACTTTCCAACTGCTTATGAGGCTTGACTTCACCATGATAAGTGAAAGTGGTTGGTGACATCTAAGGTGCTGTCCACACTTTGCTGTCTCCAAGCGGAAGGGGCAGGATGCTCAAACATAACAAATGAACAGCACAAAGCAGCCTATAGTCGGGGGCAGGGTTACATGTAAGGACTAGCCAGTGAGACATGAACTCCGGAAAGGGAGAAAGAAGCCAGTGAAGGCTGTCATCAGCAAGAGAAGGTCTCTCAGAGGCAGTGACACCTGAGCTGCGCTCAGAAAACAGAGCGGGATTTAGAAAGGAGAGAAGGGAGGGGAGGCATTCCTGGTTTTGAGAGGAACTTTAGCAAAAACAAAAAGATTTCAAGTTTGGGGAGTAGCAAAGACCTCACCAGAATGGAGGAGCAAGAAGGAGTACATAGAAAAGGTAATAATAACAAGGGGCTGGAAAAAGGCGTGCTCATCTTTGGGGCTCCCGGACAGAGCGGGAACTGTGCTGAACACCTTTACAGACATCATGGGGGGGGTGGGGAATGGCCAAACGAGGCCAAAGCAGGATTCAAGCCTCCCAGGCCCCACTCTCTGCCCTGCTGTCTGCCCAGATGGCTCAGACTTTTGGAGGTCAGTGACCTTCACTGACTACAGCCAGCACAGTCAGATGGTCATGGCCCCGACACTCCGCTGCCCCGTGAAGCTGGAAGCCTCCCTCTGCCAGAGGCAGGGTGGGAACACCCTCTGCGAAGACCTCCCAAACGCCACAGCTCGGGAGTCGGAGGGGGTGAGACCGGCCTCCCCAGGACCTGGATGGGCGGGGCTGGGGCCCAGGGCCCCGATCCCGGACTAACCCCCTTCTCCCACCACAGTGGTATGTTTTGGAGAAGGTGGACTTGCACCCCCAGTTCTGTTTCAAGGTACAAACATGACTGAGAGGGGATGGGGAGGGATATGGATGGTGCCTGGCGCTTTCTGACCTCCCCTCCACCCCATTCTTGTATTTCTTAGTTCTCTTGTGGAAATAGCAGCCACATTGAATGTCCCCATCAGACTGGTGAGCCAATAAGAGGAACCCCTCCCCCCATTTCACCCTCACCCAAATGTGGCCAAGCCAAACTCTAGCCCTGTCTTGACTTCCCTGTTAACTAGCCCAGCTCCTCCTCTCACCTCCTGCCAACAGGGTTTCTCACGTGACACCCTTTCCCCCACTCCCCCAGCAGCCCCATCCTGGAATGTGAGCATGGGCACGCAGGCCCAGCAGCTGATCCTGCACTTCTCCACGAGGACGCATGCCACCTTCAGTGCTGCCTGGAGCCGCCCAGACATGGGGCAGGACGGCCTGCTGCCCCCTGTGTACAGCATCAGCCAGGTATGGCCTCGCCAGGCCCTGGCCCCCACCAGGTCCCGTTGCTCAGAGCACAGCAGGTGGCGGCAAGCAAATTCCTGACTTACTTCATCTAGCTATTTATTTACTTGAACAGGCTTTGTTCCCCTGGCTCCTTCTGCCATGGGGTTTCCACGGGGCAGTTTCTAATCCTTTCAGTTTCTGAATTTGCAGGAATAAACAGAGGCAAAGGGCTGGCCTTCTCACAGCCAGCTATCATCCTCTGGCCCACTTCAAACTGCTGCCCCATGTTATACTGCTGCCCTCTCCAACTCCGCTGTCCCCTCCCACTGTGCTCCTGCCTCCCTCCCCCAGGCACCTGGCAGGAGTCATCTCACTGCCTTGGGAGACAGAGGCCCTGGAAGACTGTAAACTCCTGACAGGCTTGACTCTATTATGCGAATTAAGATTAATTCGACGAGTCGACTTTCTTCTGTGTATCTGATGTAAAAACCATAATCAAATATATCTTCAAAACCACAGCCCCAAGCTGACTAAGCATGAGTAGCTCTTCGAGTTCTTTCTTAAATACTCACTTGGCAGCTATTTGGTTTGTATTCTCTGAGGGTTCCCAAGCAGGAAAGTGGTAGCAAATGCTCAAGATTTAAGACCAAGCCCTGATCAAGTTGTAAGGCAAAGTCATGTGGGAAAACCTAACCCTGAGAACTAAATCCTTGGGCTCATTTGTTTCCGTGAGCTGGGAAAAGACCGCCTTCACCAAGTTCAGCTATGATTTGAGAGCCCCTGTATCAGCACTTACTCACAGCTGACTGGATAATGGGATCTAGGACAGGGTCGGGGAGGGGAATCAGGGGGGTAATTCCCAAAGTATGGAACCACTCCCTACCCGGCACCCAGAACATAGGGCAGAGCCACATCCTGCCTGTAGACAGATAGAAATCAATTCTGTCCAATTCAGCATGTCTGTATTGAGTGCCTATTCTGTGCCTATCTTCTTGTCTTAGGCCCTTCAAGATACAAGAAAAGTATATAACAGTCTCTGCCCTAGGAGTCCAAGGGGTAATAATAGCTGCTACTACTAAATGAATTCACACTGCACTGTGTATTATAAAGAGTGTCCCCACGCATACTTCCATGTGATGCTCAGTAACCCAGTAAACCGAGGATTACTAGCCTCCACAGACGAATGAAAAAAACTGAGGCTCAGGGATCCATGAACCAACCAAATGTGTTTGTTTCACACAGCTAGGAACCACAAAGGAATGGTTAAACCTGACTTTGTTAGCTGTGGTCTTCTGACCCCACAACATACATTTTTTTTCAATGGACAAGCTACCCCTTCAGGTATGCCGGACAGGAGTAGGGCAGCATATTGTTAGCCTCCCTGTTTTGTGAACTGCTAGAGGGCAGAGAACATCTGCGCCTGCCTTCTTCCTCAGGGCTTGGCACAGAGTGGGCACCCACGGTATGTCCGCTGACGAGTACCTGATTGACTGATTAGCGTGCATCCGTGCAGCAGTTCTGATCTGGGAATGATCGGCGGGATCTAGGAATGAAGCCAGGGAAGGCTTTTTGTCAGGGGTGGCACTTGGCCTGAAGGCTTAGGAGGATTGGGAGGAGGAGGTGGGGGTGAGACAGGGGAGGAACATCATGGGCAAAGGCTCAGAGCCAGACTTGTTTCCGTGCAAACAGTCATTTTGTTTTTTATTCCAACAGACTCAGGGCTCAAGTCCAGTGACACTAGAGCTCATCATTCCCTTCCTGAGGCCAGGGACCTGTGTTCTGGTAAGGAATCCTGCCCTCCACACCCATTCCTCTAGCGTCTAGTCCACAGGTGGCAGAGGGGGCAAATCAGTGCACAAAAATGTTTGGTTTGGACAACATGGTGTTTGAAATTGGAATTTGTTACCACCATTTAAATATTGGGCAACGTCATATATTTTTTAATACATTTTATTGATTTTTTTTTTTTTTTACAGAGAGGAAGGGAGAAGGATAGACAGTTAGAAACATCAATGAGAGAGAAACATCAATCAGCTGCCTCCTGCACACCCCCTACCAGGGATGTGCCCGCAACCAAGTACATGCCCTCGACTGGAATCAAACCCGGGACCCTTCAGTCTGCAGGCTGACACTCTATCCACTGAGCCAAACCGGTCTCGGCGAGACATCATATTTTAAAAAGCTGATTTCTGGCTTCTCTTGGGAGGGGGGGGAAATATATATATATATATATATATATATATATATATATATATATATGAATATATATATATATGAAAACCTAGCTGAAACCGGTTTGGCTCAGTGGTAGAGTGTCGGCCTGCAGACTGAAAGGTCCCGGGTTTGATTCCAGTCAGGGGCATGTACATTGGTTGCGGGCACATCCCCAGTAGGGGGTGTGCAAGAGGCAGCTGGTCGATGTTTCTCTCTCATTAACGTTTCTAGCTATCTATCTCTCTCCCTTCCTCTCTGTAAAAAATCAATTTTAAAAAAAGAAAACCCAGTTCTCTATGCCCACAGCCAGGCCTGGTGACAACAGGCTAGAGCTCAGTGGTGTCTGGTTACATCCACCAGGGCCTATGCCCTCCAGGTCCCCATGGACACCCTGGCCAACGTTGAGTTTACTCTTTGAATTTGCCACTCTTGACCTGTTCTGTGCTGGATGAATGCCGTATCCAGGGGGCCTCCCTTTCACCAGGTTCATGCTTCCTTTAACTTCTCCTGGAGGACGCACTGAACCCTGGCTCACAGGGTGGGGGGGGTCTCTGTGCCCTCAGGTGTGGAGGTCAGATGTCCAGTTTGCCCGGAAGCACCTCTTGTGTCCAGATGGTGAGTTCTTTGGCAGGGGTGGGGGTGGGGAGAAAGGTTGGGCACTAAGGAGCCCAGTGTGGCCTCACCTTGCTTGACTCAGTGTCTCTCTCTCTCTCTCTCTCTCTCTCTCTCTCTCTCTCTCTTTTTACTCAGTCTCTAATAGACACCTGGGACTGTTGATCCTGGCACTGCTGGCCCTCACCACTCTCCTGGGAGTTGTTTTAGTTCTCATCCTCCGGCGCCCATTGTCAGGTAAGCTCACTTGGGCATGATCTGGGGATTTAGACCTGCCCAGCTCCTAGGCCAGCTGTCCCCTGCCTAGGCTCTCTTCCCCAAGAGCCATGTACCTGCCCCAGCACCAAGCTGTCTGTTATCCAAGGGGGGGAGGGGGGGTGCCTCAGGCCCCCTAGAGGGCAGGAATGGGTAAGGCAGGGCAAAGGTCCCTCTGTACAGGTGGTTCAACGTACCAAGTCTCCAGGCTCCCGGCAAGTGGAGCGGAAATCCAGTCTATGCTGCACCTGCCAATTCTGGCACCCTGGCCCTCACCGCTTCTATTTATTATCTAAATAACCCCCCACAACACCCTATTGACTGGAGTTGCCTCGGGTACCCACCCTCAGCGCAGATAAGGAACTGGGGGTGCACCCTATGATGCAGCCCTGAGGCCAAGGAAGTCAGAGCTGAGCCGTCCCTTGGCCCCCACCCTGTTCACCTGTTGCTCCTGCCCTAGGCCCCGGCCAACCGCACCCGGTGCTGCTCCTGCACGTGGCGGACTCCGAGGCGCAGCGGCGCCTGGTGGGGGCGCTGGCCGAGCTGCTGCGGGCCACGCTGGGCGGCGGGCGCGACGTGATCGTGGACCTGTGGGAGGGGGCGCGCGTGGCGCGGGTGGGCCCGCTGCCGTGGCTGTGGGCGGCGCGGGCGCAGGTGGTGCGGGAGCGGGGCACCGTGCTGCTGCTGTGGAGCGGCGCGGGCTCCAGCCCCGCCCGCGGCCCGGACCCCCGCACCGCGCACACCCTGCGCGCCCTGCTCCGCGCCGCGCCGCGCCCGCTCCTGCTGCTCGCCTACTTCAGCCGCCTCTGCGCCAAGGCCGACATCCCGCCGCCGCTGCGCGCCCTGCCGCGCTACCGCCTGCTGCGCGACCTGCCGCGCCTGCTGCGGGCGCTGGGCGCCAGCCCCGCCGCCCGGGCCGCCGGCTGGGGCCGCCTGGGCGCTCGGTCCTGCCTGCGGAACCGCCTGGAACTGTGTCGCCGGCTAGAACGCGAGGCAGCCCAACTTGCCCACCGAGGCTGACTGAGCGGAGCTCCCCAGCAACCCAGATGTCTTGGCCACCGGTGTAAGGGCACTGGCTGGCACCCAGAAAGAGGCTTCTACCCAGGGATTCTCAGGGTGCCTCCCGAGGACTACTCCCCAAAGCCTTGTTTCCCTGCGGTCCAGCCCGGGAGCAGAGCACCGGCCTCATCCTGGTCCTCTCACATTTTGGTCCGGCTTCCTCCTGAAGCTTCCCTGCCTCTCAGGACCCCCAAGGAGAGAGTCTCTCTTTCCTGCGGGCTCCTCTGACGCTAGTCCTGATGTGGGAGGGGGGCCTCCAGAATTCCGGAGAGCAGTGTGCACATGCTCCAGGGAAGGCTGGAGAGGTTGAGGCAGGGGTGGGGGAGGCAGGAGCCATGGCCTTTCTGAAGGGGTTTGACTCCAGAGAAGTAGGAGGAACCCCCTTGGGGGTCAGGGGTCCTTCTTTCCCACGCCCAGGCCTCGCTCGGGTGGAAAGGGCGGGAGGACTGGACCCAGGGGAAAAGGCTTTGGCCCCTGGTGGCCAGGGCAAAGGTGGGGCAGTGGACACCAAGGTGGAGAAAGATGAATAAAGGCAAACATGATGGATAAACTAAGAAACACAATGCGCTTCTCTCGTGTGCCCGGGATGCTCTTAGGGGAAGGGTCAGCACCACCCTGCCTGGGGGTTGAGATCCATCAGTTGTGGCCCAAATCCTCCACGTCCACACGCACACCCCCATCCACCATGCCGTGTCACTGGAAAAGCAAAGGAGGACCTGGAAATCTTGATCCTCACTATAATTCTTTAATGAGGAAAGAGGAAAAAACAGTTGGAAAAAAGCGGTGTGTGTCCATCAGCACACAGCCAGCCCAGGGCAATAGCGCAAATGAGACCCCTGTGTGGCTGGCCCCAGCCCTGGGTTCCTCCTCCCAGCACTGTCCCGCTTGAGCTGGGAAGTGGGGAAAAGCCCACTTTCTGGTGCCCCTGGTCGCTGTAGAGCTCCCAGCCTACAAAGGGTCACTGAGGCCCAGTGCGTCTGTGTGAAGAGGCCCCGAGTGCCAGTAAGAGGGGACCCAGTGGGCCCCGAGATCCCAGAATTATGTGGGAAGCAAAAATGCCCTAGCCCCGCCCAGGCCCTGGGGTGCACGCACAGCCTCCTTAGGGACCCCTGGGGTGAGTAAGAGCCGGCTCACGAAGTCAAGAGGCCAGTCTGCTACGCCCTCTCCAGGGGCCCTCCCAGCCAGATGTCAGCAGGGGAGGAGGAGAGAGAGGAAGGGAGGAGGAAAAGGAGGGGAAGTGGAGAGGAGGCCACCACCCCAATCCAAGCCTGCTGGCTCCCAGGCCTAGTGGGAGGGACAAGGTGGGGCGGGAACAGCTAGCTGCCTGCCAGGAGCCAAAAAACGAAAGCACTTCGGCTGAGACTAAGACTCAAGTCAGGACTCCGAGGAGACGGAGTGTGCCAGCTCGCCGGCTCTGGGACCTTGGAGGCCCGGGAGAGATTCTGGCCCCTTCTGCTCAGTCACTGGGGACTGAGTGGGAGCAGAGCTGAGGTGTCTGCCCCCCCCTTTGGGGGGGGCAGGAAAGGGCCTAGGGCCTGGGTGCCACCTGGCACCTGGAAGATGCCTGTGCGTTGGTTCCTGCTGTCCTTGGCATTGGGCCCAAGCCCCGTGGTCCTCTCTCTGGAGAGGCTTATGGAGCCTCAGGATGCTGCTCGCTGCTCTCCGGTGAGTCTGGGGCCGTGGGAGGGTTGGGGAAGGCTCAGGGTTTAGACTGAGGCCCATCAAGGCCCTAGCCTGGCTCCTGTCACTGCCGCCGCCACCAGAACTGCCCTAGCTGGTCTGTCTGGTACTGATGGAGTAAGAGGAGAATGGGGAAGGGGCCAGAGCTGGGTCTGTCTTCTGCTGGGAGAGGCTTGGCATAGGGAGCCCAAGAAAGAGGTGGGTGGGGATCTCAGGCAGGGAAAGAGGGTTAGATTTAAGATCATAAATCCTGACTCTCCTTTACCTCCTCCCCAGGGCCTCTCCTGCCACCTGTGGGGTGAGTAGCCCTACTTTTAGAGGGAAAAGAACTTTCTAGGTTGGTGGAAGGGAGGGGAGTTGTCCCAGACCCATGCCCTCATGGCCCACCCTCAGCCCCTGAAGAGCCCAAGCTCCTTGGCCCTCGGGGGGTGTCAGTTGCAACCAAATTCTGGGTGTAGAACAGCTTCAGCTCCCTCCCTGCCCTTCACACACAGATGGTGACGTGCTCTGCCTGCCTGGAGATGTCAAGCCTGCCCCAGGACCCGTGCTGGTGCCCACGCGCCTACAGACAGAGCTGGTGCTGAGGTGTCATGAGGAGACTGACTGCAACCTCTGCGTGCGTGTGGCCGTCCACCTGGCCGTGCGTGGTGAGCATGCCATCCATGTGCACATGTGAACGTTTCTGGGTTGGGCATGAGGATCAGGCAGTCTGTCAGGCAACACTGGAGGCCACTGGCCAAAGGACCCCAGGCTGGTCCGGTCTCCCCATCCTCCCACACCCCCAGGCCTCAGGCCTGGCCCCAGCTTCCCCGCATGCACTTTCTGGGGAAGTTGCATGCACTTTCTGGAAGAAGGCCAAAACCAAAGCCAGCCCAGAGCAGGAGGCCTGACCTGAGCCTTGTTCTTGGGGCCTTCCAGGCCACTGGGAAGAGCCTGATAATGAGGAACCATTTGGAAGAGCAGCTGACCCAGAGCTTGAAGAGCCTACGAATGGTGAGGAACGCCCTGCTGGCCCAACTGCCCCTTGCCAGGGCCTTGCCTGCGGCCCCTGGGGCTGACTAGCTCTCGCCCTGTTTGCTCACAGCCTCCCTCCAGGCCCAAGTCGTGCTCTCCTTCCAGGCCTACCCTACTGCCCGCTGTGTCCTGCTGGAGGTGCAAGTGCCCGCTGCCCTCGTGCAGCCTGGCCAGTCTGTGGTATGCGAAATAATAATAATAAATAATAATAACAACCACCACCTTCTGAATATGAAATCTGCAAAGTGCTTCCACATGCGTTATCTCTTTAAGTCCTGACTCTGATTAGGGCTGTGGGCAAATCCTTTCAGCCCTTTATACCTATTTTCCTGTCTGCAAAGTGGGGATAAGAAAAGTCCTACTTCACATGGATGCTGTGAGGATTAAGTGAGGTGACAATGCCAGGAACTAGGTATTATTATTACCCTAATTTTCCAGGGCTGGATCCATTGCTCTGGACTTCCTGCCTCAGCATCTCTGCCCCATGTGTACCCCAAGGTGCAGGGTGTTGGGGCTACTCCTGGAGGGGTTTCTCCACTTGGGCCAAATCATTCAAACCCTATGATGGTCCCCTCCCACCCCCAGGCCCCAGGCAATATCCTCTCATCTGGAAAATTATTGAGTGGGTGAACATCTGCTGGCCCACCTCACTGGAAGGACCAATGAGGCTCTGGGTGTGAGAACCAATTCTATGGGGAAGGGTGTCCAGTCACCTTAGTTTTGGCCATGTGATCCAGAATAATTGGAGTTGAGGCAGGGACTTATCCATGCCCTGCTGACACCCCTATTGAGAGTGTGTGCTTTAGAACTGGGAGCCCTATAAAGAAACTTCAATGGCAGAATTTCAGGCCCTACAGTATGAAGATAGTCATTGGTCGGGGAAAGATGGGAGGGAGTGGTCCACACAGAGGATCCCACATCCCTGGCATGGATTCTGAGCTCAATGCCACCAGCCTCCTGCCACCCCTCTCCTCTCAGGGCTCTGTGACATTTGACTGCTTCGAGGCTGCTTTAGGGGCTGAGGTGCGAATCTGGTCCTACACTCAGCCCAGGTACCAGAAGGAGCTCAATTTCATACAGCAGCTGCCTGGTAAGTGGCTACAGAGCCTCAGGGGGGCCCAAATCCTATCCTCCCTCATCTTTTACCCCTTTGGCCACTCCCCTCCTGTTTTCATCCCCTTCCTAGTCCTGTCCACTCCCAGGCAGTGGTGTGAGCTCACATCCACCCATCAGTTCCTCGTGCCTCCTCTCCCCAGGTGACACGGCTTTCCCATCCGTGGGGAAGGTGCTTTGAGCCCTGCACAGATGTGGGTGGTAACTAGGGGACAGGGAGCCCTTTCCAGAGCTCCTCATGAGTCGGGTCGTCCCCCCTTCTTTCCTTGGTCCCCAGCCCCACTGGAGGCTTTTCTGTGATCTCTCCCCAGACTGCAGGGGCCTCGAAGTCCAGGACAGCATCCAGAGCTGCTGGGGTAGGGGATAGGGCCATTGTGGCTGGGAGGAGGGAGGGCCAGGGTCTGGGGTGTGAGAAACCCATGGAGTTGGCTTCAGGTCTGGGTTGCCACATTTCAGAAACATGCAGAGCTCATTTATTCATTTTCATTCATTCATTCATTCATTCATTCACTCATCACACACGAACTGTAATAGCTCCTACTTTGTGCCAGCCACTGGGAACATAAAGGTGAATCTCTCTCTGTAAAAAAAATTTGTTGCCGAAATTGGTTTGGCTCAGCGGTAGAGCGTTGGTCTGTGGACTGAAAGGAACCAGGTTCAATTCTGGTCAAGGGCATGTACCTTGGTTGCGAGCACATCCCCAGTAGGGGTTGTACAAGAGGCAGCTGGTCGATGTTTCTCTTTCATCGATGTTTCTAGCTCTCTATCCCTCTTCCTTCCTCTCTGTGGAAAATCAATAAAATATATTTTTAAAAAGTTTGTTAGTATCAGGGACATCTAGAAGCTCAAAGCATTGCCAAGATTGTGGTTCACCGTCCCCAATATATCAAATAAAAATATTAAACCATAAAATGAGAGCTAAGGAAGTCAGGGTTCTGATGGTTTTTCCCCTGCAACTATTTAGATTTTTTTTAAATATGTTTTTATTAATTTCAGAGAGAGAGGAAGGGAGAAGGATAGAAAGATAGAAACATCGATGAGAAACATTGATTGGCTGCCTCCTGCACGCCACCTATTGGGAATCAAGCCTAGGGCCTTGCAAGCCTTTGTAAGGACTAGGTTTTTCCTCTGGGAGTAATGGGAGATGGGGGACG